CACCTTGGGCTGTAGTTATAAAACTCTGCTCTAGGCTCGTCTCATTTCTTAGGGAGTTTCGATGGCTCCAAAATTTCGCAGCTGCCTTTCTATCTTTTTTATGCACTTCTGCGGGCCACTGAGCTCCCTTTCTTCACATCTTTTCATTGATTAGAAGGGATGCAGCCCTTCTACAGCTCAGAAAGGTTTCCCATTTTCTTTCAACATCATCTGTCGGTTCATCCCACTGCTTAGCATGTCTGTGTTCCCTAGAGGCTTCCTGACGTTTTGCTATGGCTCTCTTAACTTCCTCATCCCACCAACTTTTGGGTTTGTGTCTTCTTTTCCGGGGTGACTTGTTACGCGACTTAGCAAGCTCTAGCTCAAAGAGTCTAATTAGATTCGTGTATGTCCACACTGTCTTATTATCCTCCGTGATTACTTTCTCAATTTGTTTAGTGGCTATTTAAATTTGCCTTTCTGAATAAAAGTTTTCCTGTAGTTGCTCATCTTGTCTCCTTCCCACTTTCACTGCTCTTCCAAAACTTAGCTTGATACGTTTGGGATCACTACCCAGACTTCTGGAGCCACCTTCATCTATGTGCATTCCCCTCAGCTTATCATACATCCCATGTGACATCAGTGCATAATCTATCGTCGACTGCAGCCTTCCTACCTCCCATGTTATTTGCCCTTCACACTTCTCGGTACTGTTGCAAATGATCAAATCAAGCCTTTCACACATATCCATGATCATTTTGCCTGTCGGGTCAGTATACCCATCTATATCTTCTATGTGCGCATTCATGTCTCCTAGTATAATTATCTCGCAATCTCTTCCTAACTCCTGAATGTCGTTTGATATACACTCTACCATTGCCTGCTTTTCCTTTCTGGCCTTTGCTCCCGGGTCAAAGTGTGCTGCGCGCCCTCTGGCGTATGCAGTATGCGCACTAAAAGTTTGTTTTACATGCAAAGCACCTCACGAGCGAGCTTGATCCGGTGACGCTCGCACATTATTAGCCATGCTCCCACTCCCACTCTTCTCCTTTGAACAGGTGTTCGGTCACCCTTCCTCCTCTCCTCCACCCACGCTTCAGCCTGTAAGTCCACTTCCTCCTCCCCCTCCCCCATTTCGCTCGGCTTCTCTCGGCTCCCAGATGTAACGTCAACGTCGGTGCCAGTTGCAGCAGCAGCGCAGGGCTCGCGATGCCAAACGCAAACATCTGCGCAGGCAAAGCGATTCCGAACACTGCGCAAGGGAACCGGAAGCGTCGGAGTCAAACTCCGAACCCTGAGGTCCCGAACGCTGGCGTCGAGCAACCGCTTCCGATACACAGAGACAACGCGAGTCTGTGAAGAGGGTAGCAAGGCTTTCGAAACAACTGCAGCAACCAGGAAGCGACGGAGCAACCACACGATTCAAGTGATACTTTTAGACAACGCATAAACACAACGTAATTGTAACAAAAACGCTGAATACAAACCGCACACACAAACTGTAACACTTAGTGAACGTAAACAGAAACTTGGTGTCTCACCAAATGCTGATTCGCATCCCCTCATGTTACTTTAGTAGAAGATGGTGCAATTTATTCTAAAATTTCGTTTTTTAATAAATGTTTTAACTTCAATATGCTTTTTCTCAAAAGAGTACGGAATTGATTCTGATAAAACTGCGTGCATGAGCTACGACAACTTGGAAACAATCCGAACTAAAAAAAATGTTCATTTCGTAAAAAGTGAAGCTGTAAAAAAATTACACAAGAATACGCACTTTCTGTGGCTTTGTGAATGCAGTTATTATTTTTTTAACAGTAAATCCCTAAAGTATGTCCTACGTATAGTGTAGATACACGTAGATATATTCTACGTGTATCTACAATAACATGCCAGAATATCAGTGCATTCTATTCGGTGGTTGCAGAGAAAAGGCACATTGAAAAATTGGCAGATCCCACGTATAGTGGGAATCGATGATATGAGAAATGAATGAGGAAGGTGCATGTGTTGCTTTTAAATCAGCAAAACGTTACGACGCAGACGTTAATTTAGCCGTACATGACTTCCATGTCATGATTATATTATTTCACCTGACATTTTTGTTCGGCGTCCATTCACGTCACCTAGTGCTAAATTTGTTATATGTGGAGCTAGCGAAACAGCCGCCAGCGCACTATATGAGTGTAGCATGTATTCATGTTTTACATGACACGGATGCCATGATTATCATGTTCGGACGTCCCGTTTACTGTCGCCGTCTATACACATCACTTAATAGTAAAGTTGGTATATGTGAAGCTAGCGAAACGGCCGCGAGCACGCTATGAGCGTAGCATGTAGCCTAGATCTACATGGCATGCATATCATGATTTTTAGGTTTGGACGTGTCACATTTACGTTCGTCGTCCATTCACGTCACGTAATACCGAACTCAGTATGTGTGAAGCTAGCGAAACGGCCGCGAGCGCATCATGAGCCTGTTATATAGTCATGTTTAATGACATGCGTGTCGTTATTATCATGATTACAACAGTTGTATACCTTCGTCATCCATTCACGTCCCGTAATACGAAATGTGGCATATATGAAGCCAGTGAAACGACTGCGAGCACATCATGAGCATGGCATGTAGATATGTTCTTACATGAAACGCTGGTCATGATTTACACCTCAGGGCCTGTCACTTATGTTCGCCAGGCAGTCATGCCATACCATTCTAGTTTTGCGATATGTTATGTGAACGAAACCACCGCAGGACCAGCAAGATCATGACATGTAAATCATGACATTGATGACATGCATGTCGTGATTATGTTATGACGTGTCAGCTATGCTCGTCATACCAAATTTGGTATGCATCCCACTATACAAGTTGCCAGGAGAGCTACATGTTTTAGGCGGATAGATAGATAGATAGATAGATAGATAGATAGATAGATAGATAGATAGATAGATAGATAGATAGATAGATAGACAGACAGACAGACAGACAGACAGACAGACAGACAAATAGATAGATAGATAGATAGATAGATAGATAGATAGATAGATAGATAGATAGATAGATAGATAGATAGATAGATAGATAGATAGATAGATAGATATGGTCAAACTCGGCGAAGTTCGCTAAGAAATGCTTCGCATTTATTAAGTGAACAGATTTTGAAACTTCAAAGCGGGCCATAAGAAGGATAGGCAACGAAAGCATAAAAAACTGCCCGAATCTTCCCAAGGGGGAACTCGAGTAAATGCGCCACAGTGTGGTTGCGTAATTGGGTATGATTTGGGAATGCCTAATTGTTATTTTGTCTTTATTATTCCTATTTATCGAATGAACGAGAAGCGTGGCCTTCAACTAGTGGTGAGATGCTGATGTTGGGTTGTGTCCCACAACCCGTTGAAGGTACTGTTGCTTTCATCGCATCTACTCGGGTCAAGCAAAGCGCCAATTGTCAAGCGAAAGCAAAAACAAACAAACAGAAGACATCCTTCATTGAATTCCTAACGTCCGATCCAGTGCCTACCTATGCGAGGTGGTCAGGGAACGGTTTGGCAGCGCGAGCAGTTAGTTTGTTTTTGCTATAGCAGACGCTGCCTGCGTCGGCCTTGCGATAAGAGAAAAGGGGGGGGGGGGAGGAACAGTTGACATGGGACGCGGGCATGCGCAGTGGGGTGTCGACACCACCGCCAACGCCTGATTTGCGAGTAGGTGCGATTAAAAAATGTTCCGCATTTAAAAAGGGGCATCACCTGATTGCCAGTGGCATATTTAGCGAGCATGTGAAATTTTATATCAATACTTGTCGCCGCTTCTGAAAGAGTACGTTAAAATTGATATATACCACCTACTCTACTATACCCACCTGAACGTTTTTAGCAACTGCAACTGCGAATAAGTGGCCAAGAATATTAAGAAAAATAAACAGAAGGCTACATTGCTACTGTCTCCGTCTTAGTAGCGGTATAACAAAAATTAAGACGTGTCCTTAAAGAAGTAGGATTTGTGGGGTTTAACGTCCCAAAACCACTATTTGATTATGAAAGACGCCGTAGTGGAGGGCTCCGGAAATTTTGACCCCCTGGGGTTCTTTAACGTACACCCAAATCTGAGTACACGTGCCTACAACATTTCCGCCTCCATCGGAAATGCAGCCGCCGCAGCCGGGATTTGAATCCGCGACCTGCGGGTCAGCAGCCGAGTACCTTAGCCACTAGACCACCGCGGCGGGGCTGTCCTTAAAGAAGTAGCTGAATGTTTACGGTACACTGGTATAACAGAACTTGCACAATGAGAGAAAGCGGTGATATACAGCCATAAGTGCGCATAAGTGCGTCGCTGATTGGACTCAGAATTCGAGCTAGCGTCGCCATCCCGCGCCATGCTAAAGAGTCATTGAACACCACAGCCGAACTAGAGGAAAACGCAAGTGCGGCCTGTAAACAGGCCGCAATTTCTCGGGGTGAGTGTGAGCACAGACGTCGCGTCACCAAGAATATCTTTTTTTTTGGTATGGATGATGGAATGAGTGAGACTTACGCTTGAGCTATGGTCGCCACCTAACGTATAGTGCTTAGGTGCTGACAAAATTGCGCTTTTCTCATTGGAAATGCGCGCAATGGGACGGACGCGTAGCAACGACACGTTGCAGGAGCGAATCGCTGAAGCCACAGTAATGATGTGTTACTTCGCTTTACCGCTCTCTTTACCACCCCGCCGACCAAAAGCACTTTGAGAGGAAGCGGGAGATATAAAAGGTGCACTTGTAAAGCCTCGTTCACATCGAAGGCGGGGTGGCCAAAGCGGCGAGGCGGCAACACGGGAAGCGGCGAAAACCTCTTCGCCAGGCGGCGAAAACGGGAAAAAACCGGGCGGCATGGCCGATTGCTCTCGGAGCAGCTTTTTGCCGCCTGCCGCGGCTCGCCGCTTTGCCGCAGCCAATCGCAACACCTTGCGGTGGTGGCGCTGATGTATTCTTGAAGTAAACATCCGGTTGAGATTATTCTAAATGGCGTCAACCATGTCCGAGGAAACAGCCTTCTCCACGGAGCTCTTAATCGATGCTATTAAGCACTACCCAGTGCTTTTTGACAAATGTCATCCGCGATACAAGGAAGTGGAGTACAAAAAGGAGCTGTGGATGAAAATAGCAAAGGACTTAGGAGTTACCGGTAAGTGCACAGCCCGTCGTTCATACTCTGTAAACAGAAATAAGCCGAAATGGCAGTAAATGACCTTGTCCTCTAGCGCACACCAAGATGGGAGTTTGAAAAAACCCGTCTCTGGGAGTAAAAAATTTACTCCCCATCAGAAGGGGGTTTTCGCATGGTGTCAGGGGGGTTTTTATTTACATCCATAGGGGAACTTTTTCAGGTCAGTATGGGAGTACATTTTTTGCATCGACCGAGAAAAAAAATTACGTCAGCAGCCGTACCATGCGCAAGCGTAACTTTAATTGCATTACATTTAATACGCACAACAATGATTACAGTACACAAACATTATCACAACGTTCACGTAATATCACAACACTCGCACTCACCACAGCTTGCCACACGCAGTACACACCTACCATATAGTCACCGAGTATATATAGGCACCACATTCTGACCTCCTGTAGCCCAGGTGAAGCCTTTTTTTTTCTAATAATTAAGCAATAAATACGCACGGCGTAAGTATGACCTTGCGGTAGTCTGATGTAAGCACTTCAACACACATGCCTTTTATCCTAATCCTGCCTAATATTTAATATTTTTTTACTATAACGAAAAAGTTTTATCAGTTGACGCTCTGTCGTACAGGCTGAATTCGCATCAGCAGTGCTGTTTGTGGACCCGGAAAATGCACTGAATCATACACAAAGTGCGCGCGGTTTTGAATGGACACATTAACGAGGCACATTCAGCAGCTCCAGCGATGAACCGAGGTAGACCGCCGCTACCGCGTTCGACGACTATAGCCTCACTCACGAGTACGGCACGGTGATTCGATGAATGACAGCTGGCGATCACAAAATGCTTGCTGATGTGCAGTTTACGTCTTGTTTTTCCCATGCACAGAAATAGGTGTCCGCTATCTACGCAGTTTAAGCTACGGAGCGATAGACTTAAACGAATGAGACGGTTCGCAGTCGCTGTTCCCGTTGCTCGCATGCATTGCATGTATAGATGCCGGCTTGATACCGACGGCATAGCGAGGCCTTCCTACCGCTTAGATGTTGCAGCCGGTGAAATACCGGTGACACTCCGAGAAGCCACTATAGGAGGAGACGGGGCGAGCGCGTCGCCGGCGCAACTCTCAGACCGGTTGCCGGCCAGCCTGCCGTAGTCGAGTGAAGCCTACTTCGAACCGCTTCGAAGTTTTACGGTGCAATCGCTGACGATCGTACTCCGCCTCGTTCGGCGCTCGCCTTGTAGTTAGTCATTGACAGCTGCGGTCGCAAGGCGCAGTAGACTGTTATACATCCCAGCAGCCTTCATTTTTTGTGAAACACATTCTTTGCATCGCCGGTGGTCGGTGCTAGCTCGTAGCGCTTGCCGCGGTGGCCAGCGTACAGTGCGAGTTCGATACGATGCCGGCTTAATACCGACGGCATAGCGAGGCCTTCTTACCACTTAGATGTTACAGCCGGTGAAATACCGGTGACACTCCGAGAAGCCACTGTTGGCAGAGACGGGGCGAGCGCGTCGCCGGCGCAACTCTCAGACCGGTCGCCGGCCAGCCTGCCGTAGTCGAGCGAAGCCTACTTCAGACCACTTCGAAGTTTCTGATGGTGAAACTGCAGGAGCAGCCGCTGACGATCGTAACAGCTTGCTTTTGCTACCATTAAGTTATTCTTCGAAGTTTTTTGTTACTCGGCCCTTTGAAGCGTGGCATTCAGGACGTTTCGTTGAGGAATCGGACTGATGTGCAGCGTGGTTTAAGGTGCGAAATATATTGAAATGTTCCCAGTAAATACCAACCGGTCGTGTCTATTCTTCGCTGCACTTATAATTTCGTTGCCTGTTGACAGATGCTTACACGGTTAGCCACACAAATCACATGTGTTTCACACCGACGTGCAAACATATGCCCGTACAGACACATACACACACACACACACACACACACACACACACACACACACACACACACACACACACACACACACACACACACACACACACACACACACACACACACACACACACACACACACACACACACACACACACACACACACACGTCACGCCCAAAGAGGGTTTTTAAAGCTCCTATAGGGAGTTTGTAACCACGTGACCTGAAACTCCCTGGGGATTTTAACAAGGTCATGTCGTTCATAAACTCTGTGATTAAGGAGGGGGCGTTTTACGATGACATGTGCCGAGTTCACTCCCTACCAGGGAGTAAATAATTGGGGCAGGGGAGTTTTGTGGGCTCATGTGCTGGAGAAACTCCCATCTCGGCTAACTTTTGTTTACAGTGTAGCATCAGAAAATTTTCAACTCCGCTCTGGTCAGACACACAAACGCGCTCAAGGAAGTGTAGATGTCGTGAGCATTCAAGCTCGTTGTTTCGCTCGTCAAGAAACCAATATCTATGCAGTTCCATGCACTCTCTCGGTACGCTACATGTGCGACTGGCTGAGCGTAAGCGATACTCAGCTTAAAAACAAATTTCTATTGTCTCTTCGTAGCGTGCGTTTCAACAGTCTGTAAGAGATATTTCGATATGAGTACGCGGAAAGCGTCTCCACGAAATTCGAAAGCTTTGTGGAGTTCCGCGTTTTATTGGGCAATCACTGCGTTTTCGCGAGAAAAATTTAAAATCGGCGTTCAAAAATCAGGCAAGTTCGGCACAGTCGCCATATTTGGCGGCTTGCTCATGGCGTCAGTCCGTAGGCACAGCAGAAAATTTCATGGCTCGCTGCAGCTTATTCTAATCTTGCCTCAATACGGCTTAGAACGCTGAATCTACCAACACCCCTTTCTGCAATTTATGACAGTTGAGCAGTCTGTGCAACACTCACACACGTGAATGTGCAAAAAGATGTATGTGGTGCCGTTTTCTACCACTTTTCATGTAAATTCAGAGATAATACAGCTCGCCTACAATTTATTATTATTAGTTTTCTTGAGTGAGATTGCCAAATCACTCCAGTTTATGCACGAAAAAAAAAGATGCTGTGCAATACGCTGTGCAATATGTACAGTTGTGCTCAATTTGAGTAGTGAAACATTGACCACCGTCGAAGGGGCCGCAAGCCTGAACTGGTAATTATTATACTGGTTTCAATAATACCAGTATGCTTGAACAAACTTTGCTATGTCAGCCCTGCTTTGCATGTGCACTTTGAGCACGGATTGCATTTGCAACTTATTGAGTCCAACTGCATACATCTGGTAAAAGCAATTTCGAACATTAGAGTAAATATGAAAAACGAATTTATTTTCTCTTGATGCAGGTCAGAATGTTACAAGGAAGAAGGCACGGGCCAGGGTGAAGTTGAAGCGACATAAATACAGCGACACTCTTGAAGTCGACACAGAAGACCTCGAGAGGTGCGGCAGCAGCACGTCAGACATTAGCAGTCGTCAGGCAGAAACCACCGACAGTCCTGAAACGTAATAATGGTTTCATATGAGATATTGGCTGACATTTATAAGTAGAGCAATAAGTATTGCCTCGTATGTAAGTTTGTAAGGCACTCCCAGCTAATTATTTTGGAAATTAATCATGCAGGCAACAAGAGACTGATGTCCTTGAAACAGAAGGAGAGGAGGCAAATACAAGGCAAGAACATTGTAGTTGCCGCTGCACATGGTGTGTTCCAACTTATAGAGGATGTCTTTACTAATTTAGGTTTTTTACAGTGCACCAAGGCCCAGGAAGTGTCGTCGAGGGTAAAAAAACCGAAAGACGTAAGTTGTGATTTATTACGGTGCAGAACATTATGAAAACACACATCTCCTCATTTGCAGGATTTTCAATGAAGCAGCTACATCTTTGGATGGGGCAGCGGCATGTTTTGACCATCTAAAAACAGCACGCGAAGGCCGAGAACAACAAAAAGACGTCCTGTACCATTTTGGACTCACGATAGTTGGGATGCTTCCCACGCTGCCTTTAGACGACCAGTTAGACACAATGCATGAGGTGCAAAATTTGGTTTACCATAAAGTGAAGGAGGTTAAAGATTGCAAAAAATTGGAGTAATTGGAGTGCAAATAAAGCCTGATTTTGCCCCGTTTCCACACAAGTTGTGCTTTCATAATAAAACTTTGTTTGCTGACATTAATTCGGATGGTGTCGCCTGTTTCTTAAAGTTAATTTGTTTTCTCTTATATTTGTGTAGATATGTTCGCACATTTTAATACAGACATACATAGTTTGAAGTGATTTTTCATCTGGTAGCCAATCATGATGAAGGCAGTGAAATGGCAACATTAGAAAATAGCTCTTCATTTGTATTATGCTGTTTACCTTTGTTGTGTAGTATTGTTGTGCCGTGATGCTGTTCATGCTACAGAGATATGTTAAGAAGGCGTAAACTTACTTGACTGGTTACCATCTGCAGTCTGTCACATGTTTCACCTGCCATGGCACTGTATTATGAAATGCCGGCGCAGCTTATCACGAATGGCATGAGCGTGTCTGCAAAAGGTATTTCAAGAAGGTTGTGATATTGAGGCAAAGCGATTTCTCAATGTGCTTTCAAATATGACTATACCTGAGATGCATGCGAAATAAAACATGTACCTAAGCCATGTTTACCTTGCCGAGTTCCCACCTGTGCCGGCTAATGCAGTCAGTGCACCGTTAACTACACCCTTAGTTCTCCAGCTCCTATCTGTACGGTTGCCTCGCCAGTCTTCACTGTCTGTGGTGCCTGGAGGACAGTACATATTTCGTGATGCAGGCGACTCCTTCAGAAGAAGGTTGTGCAAAGCCACACAGGCAGACACAATTTTTGTTATGTTCTCTTCTTTTGCTTTAAATGGCCGACGAAGAATTCCCCACTTCTGGGCGAGTATACCAAAAGAATTTTCGACTACTCTTCGAGCCCTGCTCAACCTATAATAAAATATCCTTTCTTGGTGGCGCTCCTCAAATTGGCTGGTTGCACCGCTTTGTATAGAGGAGGACTGGGCCGTGGAAACTGTGGTGTTTCCAGTGAGAACAGGCTGAAGACCTGTAAGAAAGTACGTGTTTTGGAATGAAGCTAAAGTGCTATAAGTACAAAGCACCACTTGTGTGCATGCATTAGTGAAACTAGTTGCACCCAATTATTTGCAGTTCTGCTCTAATACTGATATCGGAAACACAGAATTTATATTCAACTGCATAGCTCCTCTGATGCTTCTTATAATATTAGCTTGACCTATAAAACATTAAAGCTGTGCAGAAACCTCTGTCCAAACAAGCATATTTGAGGCACTATTATGCATATCAATTGTAAGTACTTTAATTCTAGGTTGTCAGTAGTGCTGGTGCAATAACAAAAGAACCCTCATTTATAAGGTATGCACTTACATATATGTTGACGAAATGAATGTGCGGTGAATATGCAGTATGAAGCAAGCAAATTTGTCAAGTGATCAAGTTATGCTGAACTGAACTATTGGTTCAACAATGTCAAGGCCACGGCTATACTATAATTGAAATGTATCTTTATGATATCTCCACTTACTTATCTTAGAATATGGCCTCATCAAGTATGTATTTAGAAGAAATGCCTCGTCACCAACAAAAAATTACGGCATGTTGCCAATACCATCAAGAAAGGCGTCTGGTGGAATTCCAAGAGTGCCATTGGTCACCATGGGTTGCAGCTTGCTTCGGCTGAATATGCCTCCATCTGACTTACTTCCGTTTTGACCAATCTCCACATACAGAAAGCTGGAGTGCAAAAAAATAAATATAAATGTTAGCATTGATGTTTTACAGCACCTTTCATTGGGATTCCACCTTACATTTTGAACCAAATGTCATGCCGTATAGCTTAATGCGATAAACACTAGTCCGAACAAACATTTCTGGGCATCTGTCCAATTTAAGCATATTGTTTACCATAGAACGATGGTACAGCAAAGAATATTTTTCCTAAAGAATTAATTGTTTGACTACAATAAATTGTCTGACTAATTGGTAATGCCTTATCTGCCCAGGTATATTAGCGAGAACAGACAGAAAGACACAAGAAATGGGATGAACACACCTGCATGTCCTCGTGCTCTTTCTTGTGTCTGTGATTTTGCTCTAATTACCGTACATTATTAATTACAGCCAGTTACTGCCTTTCCTTGACCATAACTTGTTCATCACTGCCAAGCTATGTGGAGTTTCGCATGAGTGTGAATTGAGATTTTTATGTAAACTGTTAGAACGACTCTTTGTTTTGATGAAGGATCTATTTTCAGCAAGTAGACCTACACCACTCTACTGAGGGAATTGAAAGATGTAAAGAATAACTGTGCAATAGTAATAACATACAGCTGAGCTAGTTGATAAATATTCATTCAAAAAGTAGGGCATAGTGTCGTCACTTCTTTTGTTAGTGTTTGCATGCCCTGCATTTTAGAAAGTGCCTTGATACAAGCAGGTGACGTGAAATATAATCATATGTAGCACAGAACTATGCTGACAGGTAGCTCAGCCTTTAATTGGAAATGCGCACAGCATTTTCTATGAACAGGGCTGCGTTCTCAAACAATAATCACTCACATACAAAACCACATCAGCAGATACATACCAGTAGTTTGCATCACTGATTGCCATCAATGACTTGCTGAATGAGCCCTTGTAATTTTTGTCTCGGATTCCTGAGTTTGCTGGTCACTCCACAAACACATGTTTGCCATCTATGGCACCCACGCAGTGTGGCATATCCCACTTCTCTTCAAATTCTCTCGCAACCTGCAATGAGGTCATAAAAAACAACGTTAACCTTAAAGGATTTCGAAGCGAATGGTTACATTAACAATAATAATAAGGTTTCATTGATACTGATATATACTAATAAGTGGCGCACATATTCATGTGCAGTGTAATTAGTGTAGGCCAGCTGTTAGAAACAGTTGTCACATAAAGTATCAACTGACAGGTTACCTTTGACCATTCATTCTGTGTCGATGGAAGTGCCACGTATGTGGGGCCAAGTACATTCATAATTGCCTGGCATACTTCACAAGCGATGACACAGGCCGTGTATCTACCCGTCAGAAAATTGAACGATGATAATCGAAGCGTCTCTCCTGCCGCCAAGAATCTAATAAAAACATTGGTAATTTTAAAACTGCTTTGAAACAACCTTATTAAGTGGCTTTGCATGGTGAAAATAACAAATAATTTCTGTGAGTGACGTAAAAACAAGCAGTTCAACGCACGAAATTTGTCTATATGAACCCTTGCCTGATTGCTAGAGCTAGCCGGTGTTCTGCAGGGATTGCCTTTCGATAGTTGGTGTCATTCTTTTTGATCCTTGGCCAAAGCATTTCCAAGAGTGTGTCGAAGCAGCTCGGGGACATCCTCAAATATCTGCGGAATAAACACACGTGCCAGGCAATTTGAACAACACGCACAACTCAGTGCTTACAGTGGCAGACATCACTAAAGAAACGTGAACTCTCATTAGTTCCTAATGGGTACTCACTCTTTGTAGTATTAACCATCGCGAGACCGAAGGAGCGGCAACATAATGTCAGCATGCCGCATAGTATCTCGCTGCTGCAATGCTGGACGGACCCACCAGCGACGTTGGCAGCGCGAGACAGACGTGCGATTTTCTCTGCGATTCGGCGTGTGGTGCGACGATGCGACTGCCGGAGTGGTGACGTTTCGCGACGTTTCGTGACGTATCCTTGCGTCGCACCGCCGCATAGCCAGTGCGGCGAGCATCAAACCGGCCAGATATTTTCGTCGCAGCATCGCACCACTGCATGGCAGCAGCCAATCACAGCGCGAGCATACGAGTGGTGTCACGATGCTAGTGGCGCCATTTCCCTGTCGCCGCTCCCATCACCCATGTTTCAAGGCTCCAGGCGAGTCGATGGACGGTACGAGCGTGGATTGCTGACATCGCCGACTGCGGCGGCGTGACAAACATCGCATACGTTTGTTTCCCTGGTGACGTGATGTTATTCCGCATTGAATAAAGTGATGCTTGAAGTGCGCCTTTTCTGCACGACAACACCCGTTTTGAAACCGCTATCCAGATCGGATATTGTGAGCAGCGATGCAAGGTCATTTCGCAGGTAAACACAGCTACCGGCGTGTCTGCGCTGGCTCGCTTCGCTTCCACCTTTGCTCTTCACATCGATGGCATCGATAAAGTAATAATGTATGCTAACGCATTACATACGAGCGCAATGCTAGATAGTGTTGTCAAAAACAAGCGCTTCACGATGAGCTCGCGTGTGAACGGCGTAGGCGACGCCCGGCGCCCGCGATGCTAGGCCTACCTGTCGGAGTCGTGAATAATCAGCTGTTGCCGTGGTTAGGACGTGTTTGTCGTTCACAAATGCGATTTATTATTTATTTTGGGGGGGGGGGGGAACAACACGTGGCTGTGTAATGTTTGTTTTGAGCCTCATTACGAGGATACCAAGTCGTTCGACCCTGCATGCCGAGGCACCGCAGGGGGGTGGAGCCTGCCGCGGATAGCTTGTTCGCCCCCGTGTGTCCCAAAACGTTGCGTGCGGCACGCCGCACCATGCGGCGCCGCACGCCGCATCGCACGGAAAATCGCACGTCTGTCTCGCGCTTTACCCGCTTCCAGCGTTTCATAATGCGACTATAATGAAGCGACCGTTAGAACGGAAAGTATATCGTCCTCTTCGTCCAAACTTGTCATGGCAGATGTCGTTACAAAGCAAAACTGGCGACACCGCTGAGTCAGAAAAGGCGCGAGAACTGCGCAGCTGACTCAATGTTAGACAGGCGCCCTAATGTGGAGAGTAAAGGAGTCACACGACGAAAAGTCCCAAAGGGTGCCATAAGATGGCAAGACACGGCGAGATGTCCCGCCTCTTTGGCCGCGCGGGCGGCCAAGCAATCCGTGTGGTCTGAACAGGGGCACGCACTCGCCGCGTTGAGAAACACGCTTTGCCGCTTCGCCGCCCCGCCTTCGGTGTGAACCATGGCGCAGGGGAAAGCGGCGAAGCGGGATTTCCGAAGCGGCGAGTGCGTGAACGTGTTCAGACCGCATGCCTCTTTTCTCTGGCCACACGGCAGAAGAGGCGGCCATCTCGCGATTTTGCGCACGTGTCGCTATGACGTGTCAGTGCTTGCCGAAAGGAGGGATCTGCGTGCCACCTGTGGCGTTCCCTTTACTGTGACCGAATGCATTTTCAGGTGTGTACAAACATTAATTACGGTAGATTTCTTTCTAATTAAAACAATTGACTTTTTAGCCAGTAGAAATGAGCGGTCGAGTCAAATGAACAAATTAAAGTCCTCACTACTAATAGTCCACCGCCACTTTGGAATTTCTGAAAAGCGACCAATGGTAATCACCGCGGAGCAATTAAATATGGCTAATTCAGCACGTTGAATCGAAACCGACGTGTGAAACAGCATATATATATATATAGTCAAAAGTTCGACGTAAGTACGTCTGGTCAGGTGTCATGTTGACGATGTAGTGTGGTCACTGACCATGACAAGGAAAAAAAACAGACGTTTCGGGATTCATACAGGTTCCTTGTAGCAGACGACAGTCTCCATGTCTAAAAAAGCGACACACGACTCTTGCAACATACAACCCCTGCCTGCTTAGTGTGAACAAGGAACCTTTACGGATCCCGAAACATGTACCGCATCTACACATTCTCAAAGAGCACATCTATTTGGGTGCACGTTAAAGAACCCCAGGTGGTCCAAATTTCCGGAGCCCTCCACTACGGCGTCTCTCATAATCATATAGTGGTTTTGGGACGTTAAACACAACATATCAATCAAAGAGCACATCTACCGTTCATTTCGAAAACGCCTATAATGACGACAGTTTTCCTCGCATTGGGAGACATTGATAAGGGAGCGTCGCTAAGTGACCATATGGTAGGAAAGCGTTGGCACAAAACGTAGTATCAAGATTTACGGTTGACCACGGTCAGGGAAACTGTGTTGCAATTACGGACGTTTTCCAAGTGAATGGTAGATGTGTTGTTTGGCGCATCACTTTCGGTTTCGCCTGCTAAATTAGCCATATTTCATCGCTCTGCGGTGATTACGAGTGGTCACTTTTTATGTTTATAGCAAATGTTGAGCTGTCCATGGCTTCTACGGTTAGGTGATTTATTGCGTAAGCGAAGTAACCAATGAGCTTTGAAGTGAGCGATCACGCCCTGGATCCCGTATATTTCGTTATGTTTAATGATGGCTATAAGATGTGTTTTCGTAAAAACAAGAAAAAAAGTAGAGAATTGCGAAACCATGGGCTTACTTTTGCTCGCAGTCTTGCAGGCTTTGTGCGGCTTTCACTCCACTTGGAGGCCGCTTTTCCCGAACAAAGTATAAGTCATGTCCGAGTTAACCGAACGGCCACACTACAACAGCTAGAGCACCGTAATTTGCGAGCATCTTTAGATGCAACACTCATTATATTCATTTAATTGTCACGGTAATGTGAAGCACATTTCTGATAAGCTAACCTTCATTAACATCGCAGGAGTGAACCATATTCATCACATGATAAAAATGAAGCGCTCTTCACAAGTGGAAGTTTTACCAACTCTTTACATCTTTTTTTACATCCGCAACGCAGGTGCAGCTTATTTCGCAACTTCTACGCTAAATACATTCTGTTCGTATGTTTTTGGACCACGTTTTAAGAGAGAGCAACGCTAAATTTTGTAATCACAACAAAAGCACGTGATCTGATGCTAAGGTATTTAACAGCCGATTATCACACACGTGATTTTTTAATTAGATTATACTTGTTCTTTACCTCTATTTAAGTTCATGGTCTTACACCAACTACATTTCCAACAAACATAAACGTCATGCACCCATTGTACAGCGTTTTGTTTTAAAAGTTGTAGATGACACATAGATAATGAAAGACCTCAATCGCTACTTTCAAATCGTCTCTATTGTCTGGTTAACGAATTCCTGTTAACGAATTCATGCTTAGAAAGCATCAAAATAATATCGCTTGATCACATCATGACTTTATGGAGAAAACTGTTTAAACTAAAATGCGAAATAGTTGCAGACTCCTTCGTCTTCAAGCTGTCGCTCTCGTTATCATGCGCCCTCTTGGACCTTGGACCTGGTCTTCTGTGCCGTTTTTTTTTCCGGTTTGCGTGACCCGCGTCCTAGCCTCGGCGCCTTAGGGGAAGCGAAGTCCTGCGAGGCCACCGTCAAGAATACCGCCGATTCTCGTGGCAAGTTATCGATCTGTGCATGCATGTCATTCCGCAGATTTCAAGTGCTTGAGGTGCCCGGCTTGTCATCCATTCATGATTCTTATACCAAATAATCACGCTAACAGTAAAGCGCTCAGTACAGGTCATAACAAGCCTTGCAAAGATCGAACCTGGGAAACGACCGTGCAGGTGAAGCAGCCCGAACTGCTCATGATGAGGCTCCTTGTGTAGCTATACCATTATCAAGAACGGACGCCACTGCATGGTTTCGATCAGTTGCACGAGAACTGACACTCGCTCAGTGGAATTCACTGGCATTCACCAACGTCCGCCTTCATAATTTGGACCCACACCTACAGCTGCGTCTTCCATCAGGAATAACCAGAGCAGAGGAGACGCTTTTGTGCCGTCTGTGGATTCGGGTGGCCTTTACGAATGCTTATTCCTTTCGAATCGGAATGGCCAGAAGCCCGATATGTGACAACTGTGGCTGCGCAGAGACTTTCTCCCATCTTCTCGGCGGCCCCGCCGCGGTGATCAAGTGGCTAAGGTACTCGGCTGCTGACCCGCAGGTCGCGGGTTCAAATCCCGGCTGCGGCGGCTGCATTTCCGATGGAGGCCGAAATGTTGTAGGCCCGTGTACTCAGATTTGGGTGCACGTTAAAGAACCCCAGGTGGTCGAAATTTCCGGAGCCCTCCACTACGGCGTCTATCATAATCATATGGTGGTTTTGGGACGTTAAACCCCACAAATCTAATCTAATCCATCTTCTCTGCGAGTGTCCCCACTTCAGCGTGCCAAGAAAAGAACTGTCGAAAGCTTCAGATAGAATAGGCAATCGCCAATTGTCGGAAGAAAGGGTATTAGAACACTGGCCGAGACCGTCCTCTGCACGCAAGGCATTGAGAGCGTTGTTGCGCTTTCTGCGGTCAAGTGGTCTTAGAGACAGACTGTAAACACCGTCGTGGATCGTATAATGACCTTCTATCTCCTTTTTTTACAACGTCTCTTTTCTCTCATCC